AAGCCCCTTCTGGAGGAGCTGCATGAATCTGAACGTGAAAGTTGAACAGCCACAAGGGAAGCCATATGACTTCCCTAGTTAAAGCTCAGATGTTGAGAACTGCAGAGAAATGACCAGAGCCCTGGTCAATCTGACTGATTAGTCTGAACCCAACCTGCCTCCAGAGGTTTCAGATACATGAGCCAAAGAGTCTACTTTTTAAGCTGGTTTGAGTTGGGTTTTTCTTTTACTCATCTCTAAAAGCATACTGACAAATATGCACCCCTGAGGACTCCCTTTTCCTCATTGTGGAAACCAAACAGAAGCAGCCTGATTTGATGAAAAGATGACTCCTAAGTTTAGTGTGAGCAGAAACCATGTTTGTCTTGCTCACTGGTGCCTAGAATGGTGCCTGGCATATAGGAGGCACTGAATGCACATCTGTTGCATGTGTGAATAAATGAACACGTGGTGTTAGAAAACTGAACCCAATCTTGGCTCTGCCATTTCACCTGTAGTGTAGCTTCAGGCAAGTCACTCTCCTGCAGCACCAGTTTCTGCATCTGTAAAGTGAGGCTGGCTCATAGTAAGCACTGCTGCCCCCTCACAGGCCTTTACTTCACTGTGGGAAGACCCAAGGGATGGGAAACCACAGCTCAGACTAGGAATCAAGGGGGGTGTTATCTGAAATGGCTCCCTTCAAGGACAGTTTTCTAAGCGTAAGTGAAGCCACTCCTTGGGTGAGGGGAGCCTGGGGGTGGACGAATTTCATTTGCAGTTTCTGAGAACAACTTGAGAACTTTGTTTCTTCCTGGAATCTGTCTCTCCCTGTGGTGCATTGGGACAAAGATGCTGCATTCTCCCTTCTTTTGTCTTCTCAGGTATCCAAGAAATGCAGCCACACACCCAGGCTGCAGGGCTGGCTGACTTGGAGGAGGACAGTCAGTGGGGAGGGCGGAGCAGGGTAGGGAGGGCGCGGTGGGGTGGGTGGAGTTAGTGGTTGCTGCACTGTCTCCAGGTCATCAGGGTTCTTTGGCTTTCTGCTCTTCTCACTACACTGGCCTTACTGCCTCCTGGTCACAAGAGGGCAGCCAAGCTCCAGACGTCTGGACTCAGAATGTGGTAGGCTGGTCAAGGAAGCAGGACACTAGGAATGATAATGAACACAGCAT